CCCATTCACAGAAACCTTTGTATTTTGTAAATGCGTTCATATAATACAAAAGCTTCTGTGATTGAGCAGGAGGAGAGGGGCGAGCATAGCAGCTGCAGCAAATTTACTATTGAAGATGCCGGGACCAGTGAGTCTAGCGTCAAGCTGCTGGAACTACAGCGATAGCTGTCTTCCGGAAGTTTCTATAAACCTGTCAGAGTGTGATGTGAATAATCGATAGGTCCAGGAAGGGCCATGGACCTCCTTGGACTTAACAGTGTACCTTCACTTTTTACAAAGGAGCAGAATTCCTGGAGTTCAGCTTTAACCTCCCTGGCGTTCTTATGTCAATATTTTTGAATGTCAAAGTGGTACATTGTTTTGCATGAAAATTTGTTTGATATTGTAGGCCTGTAATTCTTAGGATTAACTCATTTAAATCTGTTCAAACACGAGTCTAATAAACATCCCAGGTATGTAATGTACAGCGCTGAGCGAACCATTGGCGCTTTATAAATACTGTATAATAATATAATAATGAAAGTTTGAAACACGAAATCATAAAATATAATAAATAATTCTAAAACATAGTAATGTAATAATAACAATACATTTAATTCAATAATGTAATAAAACCAAAAACACTGAAATAGAGCACAAAGTTCGCACATCACTGAGCTCAGTCACAGAATCGTCGCTGTCACTTTCAGTGTCTGATGACGAATTTCCCCATGAATCATTATCATTCAATTCTGCAAGTGATTCTAATTCACTATCGCTGTTTTCTAGCTGGTCTTAAACCGTTTTTGACCTAAAAGGGATGCTTTTTGGATGCCATGGACGTTCTCAAGTTTCCAGGCAGAAAGAACAGTAAAAGTGCAGGCAGGGCACAGGACAAAGCACTAGGGACAAAACTGAGGTGAAATGGTTTGATACAGTAATGTAATTCTAACAGATTATAAATGTATTGTGTGTACGTCATGGTTTTACTTTTTTGAATCTTCCGCTGGTTCCGCGCCCCCCCCCCCCGCGCCTCGCGACGCTTGCAGGGAAGGGAATTCGGAAGCAGGATGCTGGAAGACACAGCGGGAGGACAATCAGGGGATGGCAGGGCAAGGTAAATACGATAGGTTGCCACCTGTGCAATAAGTCCATCTTTGAAATTTCCTTGCTACTAAATATTCCACTGTCAACTGTTAGTGGTATTAAAAACAAAGTGGAATCAACTGGGAACAACAGCAACTCAGCCATGAAGTGGTAGGCCATGTAAAATGATAGAGCGGGGGGTCAGCACATGCTGAAGCACACAGTGTGCGGAAGATGCCAACTGTCTACAGAGTGAATAGCTAAAGATCTCCAAACTTCATGTGGCCTTCAGATTAGCACACAACAACAGCGCATAGAGAGCTTCATGGAATGGGTTTCCATGGCCGAGCAGCTGCATCCAAACCTTACATCACCAAGTGCAATGCAAAGCGTTGGATGCAGAGGTGTAAAGCACGCCGCCACTGGATTCTAGAGAAGTGGAGACGTGTTCTCTGGAGTGACCAATCACGCTTCTCTGTTTGCAATTCAATGGACGTCTCTGGGTTTGGCAGTTGCCAGGAGAATGATACTTGCCTGACTGCATTGTGCCAAGTGTAAAGTTTGGTGGAGGGGGGATTATGTTCTGAATTTGTTTTTCAGGGGTTCAGCTTGGCCCCTTAGTTCCAGTGAAGGGAAGACATTTTAAACAATTTCATGCTGCCAACTTTGTGGGAAGAGTTTGGGGATGGCCCCTTCCTGTTCCACATGACTGCGCACCATTGCACAAAGCAAGGCCCATAAATACATGGATGAGCGAGTTTGGGGGGTGGAAGAACTTGACTGGCCTGCACAGAGTTCTGAACTCAACCCAATAGTATACCTTTGAGATGAATTAGACCGGAGACTGCGAGCCAGGCCTTCTCGTCCAACATCAATGCCTGACCTCACAAATGCACTTCTAGGAGAATGGTCAGACATTCCCATAGACACACTCCTAAACCTTGTGGACAGCGTTCCCAGAAGAGTTGAAGCTGTTGTAGCTGCAAAGGGTGGGCCAACTCAATATTGAACCCTACAGACTAAGACTGGGATGTGTGTGTAAAGGCAGGCGTCTCAATACTTTTGGCAATATAGCATATGTTTACATATAAAAATGTAGTGCTCAGAATTTTTTTTTTATTATAATGTGATAGTGCAATCCCAGCTATTACCCTGTGAAACTTAATATAATGAAATACAAACTATATATCAATATCACAAAAATATATAAAATGATATACAAAATGACACACAATCTCACAGAAGTGAGTCCACCCCTCACATTTTTGTAAATATTTTATTATATCTTTTCATGTGACATCACTGAAGAAATGACACTTTGCTACAATGTAAAGTAGTGAGTGTACAGCTTGTATAACATGTAAATTTGCTGTCCCCTCAAAATAACACACAGCCATTAATGTCTAAACCACTGGCAACAAAAGTGAGTACACCCCTAAGTGAAAATGTCCAAATTGGGCCCAAAGTGTCAATATTTTGGGTGGCCACCATTATTTTCCAGCACTGCCTGAACCCTCTTGGGCATAGAGGTCACCAGAGCTTCACAAGTTGCCAATGGAGTCCTCTTCCACTTCTCCAAGATGACATCACGGAGCTGGTGGATGTTGGAGACCTTGCGCTCGTCCACCTTCCATTTGAGGATGCCCCACAGATGCTCAATAGGGTTTAGGTCTGGAGACAGGCTTGGCCAATTCATCACCTTTACCCTCAGCTTCTTTAGCAAGGCAGCGGTCGTCTTGGAGGTGTGTTTGGGGTCGTTATGTTGGATTACTGCCCTGCGGCCCAGTCTCTGAAGGGAGGGGATCATGCTCTGCTTCAGTATTTCACAGTACATGTTGGCATTCATGGTTCCCTCAATGAACTGTAGCTCCCCAGTGCCAGCAGCACTCATGCAGCCCCAGACCATGACCCTCCCACCACCATGCTTGACCGTAGGCAAGACACACTTCTCTTTGTACTCCTCTCCTGGTTGCCAACACACACGCTTGACACCATCTGAACCAAATCAGTTTATCTTGGTCTCATCAGACCACAGGACATGGTTCCAGTAATCCGTCCTTAGCCTGCTTGTCTTCAGCAAACTGTTTGCAGGCTTTCTTGTGCATCATCTTTAGAATAGGCTTCCTTCTGGGACGACAGCCATGCAGACCAATTTGATGCAGTGTGCGCTGTATGGTCTGATCACTGACAGACTGACCCCCCACCCCTTCAACCTCTGCAGCAATGCTGGCAGCACTCATACATCTATTTCCCAAAGACAACCTCTGGATATAACGCTGAGCACGTGCACTCAACTCCTTTGGTTGACCATGGCGAGGCCTGTTCTGAGAGGAACCTGTCCATCTTTATGTAGAGCAACAATTCTTTTTTTCAGATCCTTAGAGAGTTCTTTGCCATGAGGTGCCATGTTGAACTTCCAGTGACCAGTATGAGAGAGTGAGAGCGATAACACCAAATTTAAAACACCTGCTCCCCATTCACACCTGAGACCTTGTAACACTAAGGAGTCACATGACACCGGGGAGAGAAAAATGGCTAATTGGGCCCAATTTGGACATTTTCACTTAGGGGTGTACTCACTTTTGTGGCCAGCGGTTTAGACATTAATGGCTGTGTGTTGAGTTATATTGAGAGGGACAGCAAATTTACACTGTTATACAAGCTGTACACTCACTACTTTACATTGTAGAAAAGTGTCATTTCTTCAGTGTTGTCACATGAAAAGATATAATAAAATATTATATATGAGATACTGTATATATATACACACACATAATTTTTTTTTTTTTTTTTGAAAATAAACTTTTTCTTGTAGCACTTGGTCACATTACACATTGACAAAAGGAGAAAAAAAAAAAAAGTACCTTCAATAGTTGGAGTCATAGTCAGCCGCTGAAAATGCTTAAATTCATTTCTGAAATAAAATGAAGGCTGGGGTTAAGATATGAACACATAATATCCGATCATTTAAAGCAATAGAATCCTCATTGTAAGTGCACTCCACTGCAATACTACAATGTGCCTCTTAACCTCCCTGGCGGTATTCCCGAGTGTAGCTTGGGGCAAAGTTTCAGTACCACAAGCGGTAACCCCGAGCTACACTCGGGAATACCATGCGGCGCTGCTCCGCGATCCCTTGATCACTTACCTTGTCCTGCACTCCTGCGATGTCCCTCCTGCAGTGTCCCCGGCAATGTAATCCGGCGGATGCCGGCATCTGTCATCTGGGTTCCGTCCCCTGCGAGCGTCGGGACGTACGGGGGACGGAACTGGCGGGAAATTTGAAAATGGCAAAAAGTGACATTCACTAAAATGACATAGTAAAACATTACAGTATCAAACCTTTTCTGCCTGGAAACTGAGAAACGTCCATGGCGTCCAAAAAGCGTCCCTTTATGTCAAAAGCGGTTTTAGACCAGCTAGAGAACAGTGATAGTAAATTAGAACCACTTGCAGAATTGAGTGATGATTCGTGGGGAAATTCGTCATCAGACACTGAAAACGATTCTGCGACTTTGCTCAGTGATGTGCGAACTTGGCGCTATATTTCAAATTTCAGTGTTTTTGGTTTGATTATATTATTGAATTAAATTTATTATATTATTTTTTATGATTATTTATTAAATTATAAGTTATGATTTCGTGGTTTCAAGTTTTATCCTACCCAGGATGTTTACTAGACTCTTGTTCGGACAAATTTCAGTGTGTTATTCCTAAAAATTACAGGCCTACAATAAAAAAAATACATATTTCCATGCCAAAAAAATGTACCGCTTTGAGCACAGAAATATGGACATAATCAGACCGCTAGGGAAGTTAATATAACATAACTTCAAAATAGCGATTGAAACCGGGATCATTTAACCACCTTCCACCCGCCATATAGTAATGACAGATGCAAGGTGGTTCTCTCGTTCTGGGAGGACATCATATGACGTCCTCCCATTCTCAGCGCACAGGGTGCCGATCAGTGGTGCGCTGTGTCCCGAAGGTGTCGGCTCGGTCATGTGATCAGCTATGTCCAATCACAGCTGGTCACATGTAACAGGGAAATGCCGGTTATCGGCATTTCTCTCCTCTCGAGCTGTCACACTGACAGCTCGTGAGGAGAGGAAAGCCGGTAAGGCTTTCCGCGGAGGGGACATGTACACTGATCATCAGGGCACTGATGATCAGTGTGCCCTGATGATCAGTGTAACTCCAGAAGTGCCACCTGTGTCATTGTGTCAGTGCATCAGTGCCTCGTGCCAGTGCACATCAATGCCACATATCAGTGCCCATCTGAGCTGCCTTTCAGTGTCACCCATCAGTGCCGCCTATCAGTGCCATGCATCAGTGCTGCCTTTCAGTGCCCATCAGTGCCTCCTCATCAGTGCCACCTATCAGTGTCAGTCAGTGTAGCCTATTCGTGCAGCCTCATTAACGCATATCAGTGGAGAAAAATCACTTATTTACAAAATGTTCTAACAAAAACTAAGAAAACTATTTTTTTTTTTAAATTTACAGTAGTTTTTGGTTTGTTTCAGAAAAAATTAAAAACCCCCGAGGTGATTAAATACCACCAAAATAAAGCTCTATCGGTCACAAAAAAATTATAAAAATTTCATATGGGTACAGTGTTGCATGACCGCGCAACTGTCATTCAAAGTGCAACATCGCTGAAAGCTGGAAATCGGCCTGGACAGGAAGGGGGTGTAAGTGCCCTGTAGGCAAGTGGTTAAAAAGAATACTTAACAATACAGCTTACTAACTGCAATGCTATCAACATAGGTATGCTGGTTTACATATAAAAAAAATTTCCATTGCCCAAATATGATTTAACAGCTACGGATTATATAATCCATTATGCAGCCAGATTGCCAGCACTGGGTTCCCTCTGCTGCTGGCCATCTAACAATTGCAAGGTTTGCTACATTTATATATGTACAGTACTTGTGAGTGAGCAACTTTTAAAACAATGGTGTTACTGATCTTTTTAGCCTTCACCACAATACTATAGTCCAGCAACAGAAATAATGTGTTACATTTCCCCCCCCCTGCAAATGAAGTGTCCTTTAAAGTGTTTCTAACCCGCCGTTCACGTCAAGCCCAACTCTGAAATCGTGCGACTTACAGTGAAGTCGCATGATTTCAAAATTGAGGGACCCGCTGATTTCAGGTGCGATTTGCAAGACATCTGATACAGATGTATATGCAAATAGCAGCAAAAGTAGCGCATGTACTACTTTTGATATGACTGCTCCAATTGCGGACAAAAGTGTGCGGCTTGTCATGCGATTTGCAAGTCACAAGGCATGCAAATCGCATGTCAAGTCGCATCCAGTGTGAACCAGGGCTAAAGGCTTAAAGGATAAGTTCACCTTTGGGAACATGTTCCACCTGTTTTTAGGATGGATGTTCCCAATCCTGCAGCCGCCACCCCCCTCCCTGTGACAGAAATACAGAAGTTCCCTACTAGCTGTCAGTTTTTAAAAAGAGCACGGCCATGCAGGGCTCTGTCCACACAGTTGCGTCATTTATTCAGTGTTCTTTGAATGAATAGACTACACATCCCGGAGCATTAGCGGCTGTCACTTTGTAGACCTTGATGAACTACCATGGCGCTGTGGTAGTTCATCGAGTCTCCCTGTCAGCAAGTATTGGCTTGCCTGTACGGGATGTACAAGCAAGCATGGCATCAGCGATCTGCTGATTGCTGGCGCAATGGTTAAGCCTAGGTTCACATCTATGCGTTTTCCGTTTCATTTTGCAGAAACGGACGGACAGTCCATTTAACGTGATTTCCTATGGGGCAGGTTCACATCTCTGCGTTTTCACCCACTGTGTTTTTTGGAAAAGGCCAGGAAATGTTTTAAATGCAAAACTTTGTGTGTTTGGTTCAATATAATTCAAAGGAGACGCTGCAGAAATGCATGTAGAGCATTTTTGATGCGTTTTAATCTACCCAGCAACAAGTTGGAAAAAAAAAACCCTGCATCAAAAAAGCGTTAAAAAAAATAAAAAAAAATGCATGTGCAAAAACGCACCACAAAATTCACAGAGCAGGTAAGTATAACATGTTTGTTATTTTAATTTTAAAAAATTGCCTTTAATAACTTTAAAGCTGACCATACGTAGGTCAGGTTTTTTTTTTTTTTTTTTTTTTTCAACCAGCAGGCCAAAAAAAACAAAAAAAAAAAAAACAAACAATGACCTGATTGCTCCCTGCACACTCTTAATATGGATGGGGGATACCTCCCCTGCTATTCTGAAGCTGGGGAGACATCCCCACCATGTTACAAACACAACACAGAATTTTTAATTTATCAATCACATTTGTTTCCATCATGTAACTTCATAACCTGATTGGATAAAAAAATAAATAAATAATATCATATTCACAAAGTGCTTACGATCAAGGCAAAGCGATCAACAATTTTCTTCTCGGACTGACTGACTCAGCTGATCTAATCTGAAATCTAGAATTGATTAGAGGGGAAGATATGGCTATTCAACTGGTTTCTGATTTAACTGGTTTGTTCAAATTGCACATTGAGAGGATACAATTGAAGAGTTTATTGCCACCATTAGATGTAGAGCAGAAACATGTAAATCCACCTGCTGAAGAGGAGAAGATTATCATGAGTACCTGCGTGCACAGAATAAATAAGCTGCTGGTCACACACATGAAAAACAGCTGAGTAATACTTCTCTTCTAGCAGCTAGAAAATAAAAATGGTAAAGTACTTTGGATTTTGATCTTTCAGCAGAAAAGATAAGAACATGCCAATGCCTTTTTCCACGCCTTTAGTAAGCTGCTCTACTAATTTTACTAATTAACCACTTGCCCTCCAGAGGATTTACCCCCTTCCTGACAAGGCCATTTTTTGCAATACGGCGCTGTGTTACTTTACCTGACAATTGCGCAGTAATGCAACACTACACCCAAAAGAAATGTATGTCCTTCCCCCCCCCCCCCCCACATTTGTGCTATAAACAAAAAAATGGTATATATACACTGGAATTTATTATTTTATACTAGTAATGGTGGCGATCAGCGACTTTTAGTGGGACTGTGGCGGACTAACTGCCACTGACATTCCCAGTGACAGGGGAGAGATCTGTATTGCTTACACACAGACCTCTCCCCTTTCACAGTTCCTCAGTGATTACCAGGTGCCGGCGGGGAATCTCCAGCTGGGACCCAGTGATCGACAGTCGTAGCCACCAATGGCAGCGAACGCGCCCCCTACCTGGAAATACAATAAAATACACACACACACACGGAAAAATGTATTTGATCCCCTGCACAATTTTGAATGTTTGCCCACTCCCAAAGAAAACAATCAGTCTAAAAATCGAATGGTAGGTGTATTGTAACACAGAGACAGAATAGCACGTGCGCAACACACAATGAAGGACGCAGACTCCATTTTGTTAAGAGTATCCATGTCTCCCTTATTCTCCTTCCCCCCTCCCCGAGAGGCCCAGCGACATGTGGCCAGTATGTGTGTGAGTTAGGAATGTCACAGGAGGGTCATAGGAGCTGTAAAAGCCCCCAAGAGAGTTGGAGTCTCTCTGTCCACAGAACCTGCCAATTGTAACACCTCCTAAGAGATAAGGCAAGCTTTCTCAGGAGTTGAAAGATTCTAATCTCACAAAACCTAACTCTGTGTAGGTGACAGAATCAGATAACTTCTGGTAAATCCATTTTTCCCCTAGGTCTCATATCTTGGAATATGAGAGACGTACATAAAAACCGGACACCTCATCAGATGGCCAATGAGCAAACGAACAGTTTGATGGGTCACTCGCCTTGTCTCGAACACTCAGGGAAGCAGAAACAGATCTCGTGAACCATGCAGTATATAATTTCATAATTTATATCTAATTAATTCTCAGACTTATCTGCATAATAATCTACCCGCAGGTGGACTGTCACTTGTGCAGATGAAAAGTTTAGGCAAATATGAGTTATGGGAGGTTTTTGTTCTAGTTGAGGCATCCACCCATATTTCCACGCCCTAAGTGGAAATTGGCCCTGGACTGCAGAGCCACCCCCTTGCTGGGGAATTTAAAACAGGCTGTCAGGCCTAGGAGAAGAAGTTGAAGCATTCTCCCATTTTTTCCATCGTAACATAGGGATATCAAAGCACCCTTCTGCTCTGAAACTTGGATCTGCTAACCCAAGACTTTGGCAAGTACTTTAACCTTTTCACCTCTCTCTGATATCTCTTGCTGTGCGTGCGTGCGTGCGTGTGTATCTTAGTTGCATCTTTGTTCTGTAAATATTTTTTTATTGCTCCTGTTTGACCTTTTAGTAATAAATCTTTCTTTCTGAAAAGTGTTGAACTGTTTCTATAGCTCTGTATTGCAACTCACGAATTCCTGCCTCTAAAGAGACGCTACTGTGGTTGTTTAAACCTCTGTATAACCGGCCTGCGGACCATTTTAATACAGATGATTATCTCAATCATTATAGTGTTATAGCTGATAACGCCAAGTTTCCTCTCTGTACAAAATGGAGGTGGTGGCAGTGTGAAGGGTTAATTGCGTAATTAACCTGACCCAGTAACAATCGCTCAGGCTGCCGGTACAGCGATCTGTATCCATTAGCTGGAAAATCGTTGAGCAGGGTGCAGCTGGGTGTTACGCATTGTTACGCACGTCACATTGCGGTTTTAGATCGGCTAGTCCTTCAGTCACGAGTTTGGGTGAGAAGGTCTGGGGTATGACGCCGCGATCGTGACAAGCACGACCCCCTATTTTTGGGGTATGGTTTTTAAGTATAAAAAGTTGTCTTATACGCAGAGAAAACTACAGGTAGGTCTAAAATCTTGTCCCTGATATCCTTGGACAGCTCTTTGGTCTTTGCCATGGTGGAGAGTTTGGAATCTGATTGTTTGATTGCTCCTGTGTACAGGTGTCTTTTATACAGGTAACAAAATTAGATTAGCAGCACTCCCTTTAAGAGACTGCTTCTAATCTCAGCTTGTTACCTGTATGAAACACACCTGGTAGCCAGAAATCCTGCTGATAGGGGATCAAATACTTATTTCCCTCATGAACATGCAAATCAGTGCATCATTTGTTAGACATGCATTTCTTTTGAATTTTTTGTTGCTGTTCTGTCTCTCAGTGTTACAATACACCTACCATCCGATTTTTAGACTGATCATTTCTTTGTGAGTGGTTTACACATACATACACACATGATTTTGCGCAGCCCTGCCACCCCCGTAGCAGTATTTCTGTTATAGGGCAGTCGGTGAGGAAGCAGTTAAAACTTAGTTTCATCTATTTATATATTACCTTTGCTGCTTGCTCCTCCCCCACCCCCATCAACATGCTAATGACATTTTTAAAGTAAAACCTGTTTTCATTACATACAGTGCCTTATATCAGAAGCAGCGCCAATCACTGGAACTCTGCGC